AGTCTCAACCAATACCAGCCAAACGAATCAATCCCGCAGTTCACTAACCAACTGAAATTTCTGGTGGCTTTAAATACCTCCTGATGGCCTACAAAACACCGTACAAATGAAATCATATCAGTTAAATAATCGAACTGATCAATGGTCACTGATCAATGACGTTACGCGATAAATGCGAATTGCTGCAAACCAAAAATGAAGCAGAGCAAAGGGTAATCTGCCGTTCCAACAACATTCATACGATACTCTCCCTAAAAGCCATACCACCATAACCTCCCAAAACCTGTACCCTAACAATGCTCAGGCATCGTCATAATAATTCCAGATTTAAAGCCACAAGCAACCGAAAATATGCATAATATATATATTCACGGAAATATTAGAATTTGAAATGCGCATCAGCCGCATAATGAGTAGACACAAACATACATTACTATAAATGAAAATACGTTCATGGTCTGCTTTTCTCTTCCAATCCTGCAACCACATTTCAAAAGCATTGTAATGATGCTCATGCTTATGTCACTAAACACCCCACGCCTTTCACTGAATCATCCACAAACAGGTTTTTAACTATGATGGTTAAAAAATTCACTGTCACAGCTTTTTCAGTAGGATCCCAGCCTCAATTTCCAATAAGGACTTATGCCTGCGCGTAAGTCTACAAGTAATCCTGAGTGGGATTTTAAAAGATTGTAAGGTTTGGAAATTTAACAGTTTAGAACATTACGTAATTTGTACAAACACGTAATTTTTATATGCCATATCAAAATGAAAACTTTTTTAAAGAACGAACGCACCTTCTCTTGAATCTCGATGACATGAATGGAATCCCAGCAACCTTTAATCATACGTGAACCATCACCGATTTTCTTGATCAGCACAACGCCAGCAAAACCGTAATCTAAATCCCAGAAATAGACCGATGATACGCCACCCTCGAAATATCTGAAAGCGAATCAATTTCCATTTTAAAACTCTTGAAGAGGCGAAACGAATCAAAAAATTTCACTCAAATTCTCCTAGAATCAATTAATACAATTTTGAGTGACACAGAACTACACAATTCCCTTGAGCAAGGAATATACATACTTTGAAATTAATCTTTTGAGATAAGAACATAAAAAAGTGATCTCACGGAATCTGAAAGAACCAGAATCACCAAATGAAGAATAGTTATGCTTAAAATAAATCTCCAAATACACTTCAGAAGCAATGCAGAGCAATGAGTGTTTCAGGACTCCGTAACATTAAATAAATTTCTTCACTGTAACAAATAATCCGGTTAAGAAAACTTACGCATCTCTATATGCCTCGAAGGCTGCGTTCACCTCAACTTCAAGTTTTCGTAGTTTATCCGACGGCATCGCTCCGTCTTCTAGTGGTGGATCATAGGTGTTCGACCATGGTGATCTAGACTGATCCTTTACATTAAAAAAATCTTCAAAATAACAAAATAACTGCCCTCGAACAAACAAATTGGACAATTTTCGAGAATCACATTACGATAAAACTCTCAGAAAATGGGCACAAAGGTTTCAAAACTGATACAATTGCAGAATTTAGACACGTCGCCAATCCTCCGAAAGTGATTGTTCAAATCGTACCTATAACTGTCACCATCCCGGTTGTAATCACACAAAAGATATTCTTTTCCAGTATCTTTGTCTTTAGCTATTTTCAGCGGTTGATCCACAGCGCTCAACAGATCGTCTAGCAATCGAGGGCATAAATCTATCAGATCGTTCAGATTCTTCTCGACTTGTTGCGGTGGTAGCCGTCGCATTAAATCCAAACCGCAGTCCAGCTGTTGGTCACTCTATAATGAGTTTGGGTGACGATCAATCTCATAAATTTGCCCATATCCTTTTGTAATTGAAGTATTGGTTAAACAGCTAACAGTTATGAGTACTTTTGCTGATAACGAGCGCCACCTCGCCATTACAGAAGCTCATGTGCTCATACGCTTCACACATAAGTCGAGGCCTATGCGTTAGCCTCATCACTGGGCTAAGCGTAAGTCTAAGCTTAAGCATACTCCTGATATGACTTCGAATTGCATTGATAAACATCGAGCAAAGTGGTAATCTAGGCAAATGCGTGCAGTGGCGCCCGTTATCGGCAAAAGTGCTCAGTTACGATCCCTTTCGACAACGTATTTGCATAGGGGATTTATGAGATCCACCGTTGTCTCCGTCCGTTATCAATGTCAAATCCCAATTTGGAAACTCGATCAGGGCCCTATTTCATCGCTTCGTTCAGTCTTTGAAACTATTCGAGAATTCGTATGAAACAAGAATATACGAATGGGATTCAGTACGCCAACACGATGGATGGGACCTTTCTTGTCATTAAAACACTATATTAATACCGTTATTATTATTATCATTATTTTACTTTAATTATTACTATCTCTTGCTACCAGTAGAGCACTATAAATCAAAATACACTTCAGACATTTCATACAAATTTTGCAGATTTGAGAGATTTTTTAAGATTTTTAAAAAATATGATTCAAAATTGGTACCATTATGAAGGATTACGATTTGATACGAGATCGATCGTTTGCACTGACGATCAAGGAACCAAAGAAGGTCACTTGATTTCCTGCGATATCCGGTTATTCCTTTCAATTTCGCCTCTCCAATTCGTTATTCCAAACCGCACACACCCTCCCTTTGCTTGGAGAGGCTGGAATAGAATAGAATCTCTCAAATTATGAGTAAATGCACGTGTTCATAAACGAATACGCACAGTCGAAAGATAACGAAGTTAGAATTCTAGTGCTGGAACACTTGGAGCAAGAAAAG